AGGCACTTACCAAGATTGTATGCTGCGTTTCATCATTAACAAACCAAATTTTTTTTCTTTTTTTCCTTTTTCTTTTTTTGCCTTTTTTTCAACTTTGGCATTTTGTTATCTTCATCTTTTATTCTAATAATAAAAAAAAAAGTTAGCTTATCCCTAACTTAAAGATATTTTATGACTTTTCTTTTCAATTAAAAATTTATAATGATTAAATAAAAAAAAAAAAAAAAGTAGCAGAAGATGCTTAAAGTGACATACTTACTTATTATTATTATCAACAGGCGGTTTGGGTCACAGCTCTTGCACCATACGTCGTTTTATTTATACTTTTAGCACGTGGTGCTACTCTACCTGGAGCTGGAGATGGAATACTATATTATTTGACTCCAGATTGTAGTAAATTACTGGAAAAAAAAGTAAGAAACGATTGTTAAATATTTTCCGAAATTTTCCTTTTGTTTAAAAAATTTTTTTTTTTGGTTAAGGTTTGGATTGATGCAGCTTCACAAATATTTTTCTCACTCGGACCTGGATTCGGTACTTTATTAGCATTGAGCTCTTATAATAAATTTAATAATAATTGCTACAGAGACGCCATTTTGACAAGCAGCATAAATTGTTTGACGAGTTTTGTTGCCGGTTTCGTTATTTTTAGCGGTTTGGGTTACATGGCACATGTTCAGAATAAGAAAATTGATCAGTTAGACAAAGAAGGTAAAAATTTTCAACAAAAAAAAAAAATTTTCTTTTTAATTAATTAAAAAAAAGTTTTCTTCTTCGTTTCTTATTATTAAAATGTAACATTTGTATGAATTTTTCATTTTCCAAAATTTTTCCCCATTTAAGGAAAAAAATCAAATTAATAATAATAATAAAAATAAATTAAATTTTCGTCGGTTTTTTTTTTTTTAAATTAATTTTTATAATTTTACTTAATTTTTTGTTGTTGTTGTTTTTCCAGGACCAGGTTTAGTTTTTATTGTTTATCCAGCAGCAATAGCAACGATGCCATTTTCATTTTTTTGGTCGATAATTTTTTTCCTCATGTTGATAACTTTGGGTATGACATTTTTTTTTTTTTTAAATTTTTCCAAAACTTTTTTTTTTTTATTTTGTCCAAAAAAAAAATTATTATTGTTCTCCAGGTTTGGATAGTACTTTTGGAGGTTTGGAAGCTATGATAACGGCATTATGCGATGAATATCCAAAATTATTGGGTAGACACAGAGAAATATTTGTGGGAGTTTTATTATGTTTAATTTATATATGTGCTTTGCCGACAACAACTTACGTAAGTTAAACATGATTTTTCCTTTTCTCCAGTTATTGCTGTTGTTTGTTTTACATTTAAACAATTACTTTTACGTTTTTATACAATAATAAACATTTTTAATTAAAAAAGGAAAGTCAAGTATGAGTCAAATAAATATTATTTTTTTATGTAAAACGTCAAACTTTCGAGTCCTTTTTTTTTTTTAAAACAAATTTAAAAGTATAAAATAAAAATTTTTTATTTTGCACCTTTTTTCTCTTTAGTTTGGAATTTTCATTAGTTTTTTTATTTTCTCTCTCTAACTAAAAGAAAAAGAAAAAACTTAAAAGAAAAAAAAGGAGGAAACATTATATGGTAACAGAAAAATCCTTTTAAGTCAATTAGTCTGATTAGACATCCTTAAAAGCCGTTTTTGTTTGATCTTCTTTCTTTCTTTCTTTATTTCTTTCTTTCTTTCTTTCTTTCTTTCTTTCTTTTCCAATATATATTCGAAATTCGTTTTTTTTTTTCAAATTTTAATTTTAAATATTTGGAAAATTTTTTTTTTTGACTATTTTATAAAAAAAAAATCAAACTCATACAGTATTCATGACGATCATTATGATTTTTTTCTTTTATATATTCATTTCCAACTGAAAACAAATACCATTTATTATTTTTATTATTATTGGTTTTTTAATAGGGAGGTGCAGCATTAGTCGATTTGTTAAATGATTACGGACCGAGCATTTCCATACTTTTTGTCGTTTTCGTTGAAGCAGCTGGAGTTTTTTGGTTTTACGGTGTTAATAGATTTTCTGATGACATTGAAAAAATGTTAGGTTTTAGACCTGGATTATTTTGGAGAATATGTTGGACTTATATAAGTCCTCTCTTTTTACTCGTAAGCTGGAAAAAAAATACATATTATTTATTATTATTATTATTTAAATAGTATTTAAAACGGTGGATTTTTTTTTTTTCGTTTAGTGCGTTTGCATATTTTCTCTTACCTCAACTGGAGATGAAGGAGATTTAAAATATTCTAGATGGAGCATAAAAATCGGTTGGGTATTAACAGCATCATCTTTAGCATGTATACCATTATACATAGTTTACATAATAGCAATCACTCCAGGAAATCTAATACAGGTATGATTTATGTGTAATTTTTTTCCTCATCGTTTGAATTAAACACCTAAAAACAATATATTAATATTATTATTATCATCATGTTTTCAGAGACTCTCTAAAATAATCAAACCGGAAGAAAGTTCGAATCATTTAGCGGTAAATTATAATTATAATTATGAAATTGGAACTCACGTTTGACGGAATCCTCCATTGAAAAAAAATTTTCTTTCATGTACCTTTTTTTTTATTTTATCCCCACGATAACTCTTATCACTTATCACTAACGAACCCATCATTTAAAAATATTTTCTTCTGAACAATATCGTACCTTTTTTTCTCTTTCACTCTTTCACTCTTTCTCTCTCTCTCTACCTGTAATTTTTTTTTTTTACAATTTTTACATACAAGTAAAATTTTAATAATTTAATTGTAAATAATAAAATAAAAAAAATAAAATTCGCTTTATTTGTTTAAATATTAATTAATAATAATAATAATAATAGTAATAATAATAATAATAATAATAATAAATTAGTCGTATAATTAATTAATTATTTTATACAAAAAAAATTAATTAAATAAATAAATTTTTAACCACATACGTTTTTAAAAAATGCTGTGTAGAACAATTAATTAATTTCTATTAGCGTTTATTTATTTATTTATTTTTTTTCAAGTTAAATATATTTATTAACTAGCAATAAGTTATTTATTAAAATATATATATATATATATATATCATAAAATAAATGTTAATATTGATTAATATATTATCTATTAATTTTTGTAAAAAGTTTTCCAAGTGAAAACGAAAAACAAAAAAAAAATTTTTTTCTTTAAAACGTGCGTTTATTTATTTATTTATTAATTATTATTATTATTATTATTATTATTATTATTATTATTATTATTATTAATATTAATAACAAAAAACATATATATATATTTATACTAAATATTATTGAGTGTGTAGTAACGATATAATTTTTTTTTAGTTTTAAAGTACAAACAACAATTAAAAAAATATGCGAATAAATTATTAAACAGCTTTTATATAATAAAATAATTTTGTTTTGATTACGTCACGATAAAAAATTTAATAATAATAATAATAATAATAATAATAATAATAATAATAATAATAATAATAATAATAATAATAATAGTATAAGAATATAATTTTATTTATAGACATTTATTACGTAAACGTATCGATGTAAATTATATATTTATATATAAAAGATATTTTAAATGTTTTGTTTGTTAAATGTATTAGCTATTACAAGCTTTTAATATATATATATATATTTATATAAATATTATTATGTAGGAAAAATATACAAATTATATAAAATAAATAAATAATGATAATAATAATATTAATAATAAAACTCTAATCGAGTGCCTGTCAGAGTTTAAAACAGCCATATTAAACTCTGACAAATAATAATTATTTTACGTATTTACAAAAATTAATTAATTAATAGTATACATAAATATTAAAAATATATAGCACGAGTTATTTAAAAGCACAATTATAATATTATTTTATTTGAGCTTTTAGTATAGCTTTATATTAAATATATTTACAATATTACATAATATAATATATATTTTTTTTTCAAAAATATTCATAAGTGTTTGATAGAATTTAAATAATTAAAAAAATGATGGCGACGTCATTACGTAATTATTTATTAATTAAATTAATAAACGAAATGTTAAATTAATTTTTTTTTGTATACACGATTGACGTCATCATTAATGACGTAATAATAATTTTTTTTTAATTTAAAAACAGTTTTATTAAAAAAAAAAAAAAAATATTTGTATTAATTTAAGAAAATAAGTAGTTAATTTTTTTTTTTAATTTGATATTGAAACGATCGTCGCCATCTTTTTAAAAATATATTATTATAATATATATATTTATTTACATATATACTAACTTTTTAGATGTAAATTTAAATAAATAAAAAAAAACTCATGAAAATACTGCCAAACAAAAAAAAAAGAGAATAAGAGTCATTTGCCTCCAGTTTTTTATTTTTATTTACATTTTAAATAAATAATAATAATAATAATAATATAATTTTATTATTATCATTAGTTAAAAATTATTATTATTATTTTTTTGCAGCAAAAGAACGGAGGTTGTTCTCTCTCTTTTTTTTTTGTTATCAATGATAAAAAAATGTTTAGCATGTAAGTAAGCAAATGAAAACTAAACGTTCAGCCATGGGTTAAGTTTTCATTTGCTTTTTAAATAATTTTTTAGTCATTTTTTTTTTAGTAGCATTCATTTATAATGCTGATATTATAGAGATTTAAGTATAAACAAAAACAAAGTATTGGATGTTTTAGTTTTTTTGTTTGTTTGTTTTACTTAACGCATTTTAAATCTTTTTTGTTTTTTTTATTTATTTAATTTTCGTTATAAAATATAAAACTTTCAGCTGTTTGAGTCTAATTTTTTATTTTTTTCATATTCTGGATCATTCCAAATTTGTCGGTCGGATTTTCCAAATATTATAAAAACGAGATTTCCAAAGAAAAAAACTCCAGCCGTTACGGTAAATAATATTTGCCAATTTTGCGTGGATGTCTAAAAATAAAAATAAAATTAGTTTCTTAATAATTTATTCTTTGCAATTATTGCTATAAAAAAAAAAAAAAAAACGTAAATTTACTTTATCGTTTCTTATTAAAGAATCAGCCAATAAAGTTCCAATTGTTGAAAAAACATTTGCCGCAAAATTTGTTATTCCCATTAAAATAGCCGAAAAGTTTGGAGAAAGATCCATGTGATTAAGTGAAAATCCAGCGTTACTTCCGGCATTAAACCCAACAGCTAATATTAAAAGTACGACACCTAAAGTCTGTTGACCTTTTTGTATAAATCCTAATGCTATTAAAGCAGCTGCCGGTATCCAAAAACCTAAAATAACAAAACCGCATTTATAAATTTGAAACCCTAAAAAGGGTAAAGGTTAAAGCTTAAATCTTACCGACGGTGTTGAAAAATTTTCTCGAGGCAACAACGGTAAACCATTTTTTTTCAAACGTATAATCGGCCATCCATCCAAAAACAACGCTTAAAATTGCCATAAGGCCATAAGGTAGAGATGAAAGAACTCCATTTGCTTGAATTTGAAACTCGAGTACCGCATCAAAATATGTTGGAATTTCTGCCATTAATGTCCAAAATCCAAAATTTTCAGCACAATGAGTTGCCAATATGGCCCATCTTTAAAAAAAAACAATTTTTACTTATGTACATAAGTTAAATATTATTGGACCGAAACAAAAAGGTACATACACCGGTGGAGAAGTTAATATTGCTTTCCATGGTGTTTTTAATTTTGTTGCAAATTTATTTGAAATTGAGATTTCTATATAACTTCTTTCAGATTTGCTTATCCACGGATGTTGAGATGGACTGCTATACCCCAAAACGCACCATATAAGACTCCAGCATACTCCTACCCCTCCAAAAACGTAAAATATTGAAGGCCATCCTCCCGGACTAGGAATGAGGAATCCGCCGACAGGAAGTGCCACGATGGTTCCAAGCAAACTTCCTAAAATTTAATCTATAAGATTCGTAAATATTCTTAATGGTCGACGACGTTTTTATAAATTTGATAACATTTTTATACAACGAGTAACCATAAAACCTACCACATAAAATTATTGTAGACAAACGACCTCTTTCCTCCAAAGGTGTCCAGTTTGATAGGGCAGAATTTAATCCTGGAAAAAGTGCTGCTTGTGTCAATCCCTGAAGAACTCTCATGGCACATGCTCCAATCCAATCACCGTAAATTGCTGCCAAAGGAGTCAAAATGACACATATTGATGATATGCCAATGGCACAAGAAAGAGGCCATTTAGATCCATATAATTGAATTAAAAGACCGCATGGTATTTGAGCGGCAGCGTATCTAAATTTTTTTACAATATCATATAATGAAAAATATCATCATTATTAATTTAAAATCTGACAAAAAAAAAAAAAAAAACTAACCCCCAAAAGAAGGAACTTAAAACAAGTCCTTCAACTTCTTGTTTATCCCAATCAAACGATGGAAAATCCGTATTGTTTTGAAGCATTGCGACAATTGCAACGGAAAGAATCGAACGTGACGCATATCCGACAAATGTCGCAAAAAATAAAAGTGCCACAATCAAATGTCGAACCCCCAAAATCCGTCTGTTTTCTTTAAAAAAATTTATTTAACAATTAATAACAACTTTACCAATGAATCGAAACACAAAAATGCTTACATCTGACATTTTATTCGTTACAAAATGCTTGCATCTGATTGGTTAATTTAAAAAACGTATTTTAACGGTTTTACTAAACAGTTAACAAAAAAAATAACCGAATTTTTATCATTGTAATGGAGTAAAATTTATAATAATTTTTTTTTAGACAATTTATTATTATTATTATTGGCAAAAAAGTTTTCCATTTTCAATATTATTCTCAATATGTTTATGTATAAATTAAATAATTTAAGGAATCATAAAATAACTTACCAGGTGCATCCAATTTTTCAGGTTCTTCTTTAACAACACAAGTTTTATCATTAGACTCCATTTTTTTTTTTTTTTTTTTATTAAATTTCTCTATCAAACTTTACAAGATCACATTTCTTTCTGTCATTTATTTTTGGCAAGTGATAATTATCAGGATATTTGTTATCTTTTTCCTTATGCCTTTGACTCCCCACCTTTATAATAAAATTAATATATATTAATGTCAATTAATTATTTAATGTTTAAGGGGGGAAACATGTTTAAAAAATCATCATTATCAAATGGGTATTAATAAATTTATTCACGGGTAATTTTGTAAATAGTAATAAAAAAAAATATTTTAAGAGTAATATTAAATTTTCATTACATGTTACAAAATTTTGTATTACCCTTGAAAAAAACAATAACAATAGTAATTATTATCATTATTAATAAAATCCTTGATCTAATTAAATAATTAATTACCCTAATTTTTTTTTTGGTAAGTAAGTCAAGTGCAATCATTTTTTTTTTTGTCTTATCGTTTATTAATCTTTTTTTTTTCCATTGAAATCGATTAATCGATCGATCATTAATACGCGAAATACACTAATGATTATTATTATTATTAGTTTAATACAATA